CATAACATAACATGTTATATACCATAAAACATGTTACATGACATAGTTATATAACATGTTTGTAGGTGTGTTAATGTACATGTTAGTCTGGATGCACCTTAAAACAAACAGCAATCCCGTTATTTTGACTTTCATGCCAGGCCTGGGGCGCAACCTAATTAATATGTGCGATTGTATTGTGAAAGAGAATTGGGATTAAGATTTCCTGTTATATTAGAAATTATTTATTTCTTACAAATCAAAATAGATATCATCAATTATATCCGATTCCTGAGATCCATTGGTAATTGCCGGTGATGCAGGAACATCAGTTGAAGGAGGAATTTTGTCTGAACTATGTAAATATGTTCTGTTTGTAAGTGACCTCTCAGAACCATAGATATATATTACGATTGATAATCAGTATTGGGTATATATCTTTTTATAGTCTTCAAAATATCTGTCTGAAGATCTAATTTACAATCATTGCGTACTTTTTAAATGAGGTAGTATACATTGTGTAACGCTCTCCCCCCTCTCTATATACAAATATATATTAAATATATAATATATAATTAATTTACCCCTTTCAATAAGATTATATATATGTGATCAGGATAAATAAGATATGTTTTGATCTTTCTAAATGATCTCCTTATTAATAGGCCGTTTGTAATATTTTTGGCGTGATTGTCTTATTCAGTACCCTTATTTAAGTTGTGTTTGCTTAGTAACTTAGTTCTTTTAGGTATCTTTTGGAAGAATGAATATTCACTAGAGCAATTGAAAGCTGTTGGTAGTGCTTTACAAGCTGAGTGAACCCTGTTCACGAAGACAGGGTTCGAGAAAGGTTAGGAACATAAAATGTCTCTATACCACTTGTATCAGGTTTACATAATAAATTATTATTAATTATCCCTTTCCGCTTGGAAAAGGCTCACAATATATTTATACAATATACCCGACACAAGGGCTTCGCTCTTCTACATTTATTTTAAAAAAATTAGGGGAGGCACACGGTTTCACACACGCCGTGCGCGGTGAGCGCCAACCATTTTGATGCACTCCCCCCGAAGGGAACGCTAATTCGGGAACTGGACCGTAGTCTACAGCAAAATTCCTGGCGAACCAGTAAAAGAGGCTTGGCCCCTTGTTAGTGCGTAAGCATAAACATCGACCGAAGTTGCGCATTTCAATGCGTGTAAACGCCATACAGAATACGAACGAATCCAGCCACAGTGAATTTACGTCACACGGTTTAGGCAAATAGGCACACTGGCCGTTACCCTCCGTGAGCGCCACCACCTGCCAGACCACCGCTCCTGCAGACGTGATGTAAGTGTATGGCATCACCACCAATTGCATGATCAGCACGGCTACTAGCCGCGGAGCGTGTCATGCCTCAAGGGAATGGGGTCCTACGTTGTGCGGCTTTCAGCCACAACCTTGAGAGTCTCCTCAGATCCTCCCGCCAGATACCACCCGCATGAGGTCGACACATAAGCTCCACCAACCAATACAACGGTAGATATAGCTAAAAGGCAGGTATAAGAAGTTAGTAATGATTTGCCATCAGAAAGGTTTTGTGTCACTGACGTTGAGTACATGCATTTTCGATCATGTTTATCTCACTCACCAACAAGTTGACTACAATCATTCAAAGGTGGAAAAGTTACAGAGATATATTATTATGTTGTTATATAAAACATCATGGGGGGCAGACAGTCTGCAGCCCCGTAATGAAGGGGCCCGACCTGGGCAAAGCTACTTAGGTGTGAGTCAAACTAAGGCGCAGAGAGTGCCATTGAGAATAGCGTCCCACCAAACAATCATCGCAGAGACGCAATGTAAAGAACGCAACAAGCATCAATACGACTATCGTCGGGTTTACATCCTAATGTCCCCCATACATCACAGCAGACATCACCACCCGCATACCTCCATCGACCTGCAAGAATGCGTCGAATCAGGCGCAGCACACCCGCAGATCCATCACAAGACGCAATACTACAAGAAGTAGTAAGCATCAATGCAACTATCATACGGCTGACGCCCCCCTCACAACACACCCACATGATCCCTATCGACTTTGGTTTGTAAAAACAAAGTTTGTATTGTTGTTAACTAAAAATATCACCAACGTATCATAGTAGCACGCTACTAAGACGCCAGTGAATAAAACTCCACGTATCATAGCGCTAATGCACTAAGACATGAAGTTGAGCATGCCTGTTACACTTAAAAGTGCTACCAAACACACTCATCCCAATCCTAAAGATAGACGATGCATCGCTATGCGCTACAACTTTTTTTAACAACTCCTTCTTTATTTTTTTTTTTTTTTTTTTTTTTTTTTTTTTTTTTTTTTTTTTTTTTTTTTTATTTTTTAGTTTTTGATTTTCTTTTTTTTTTTAATTTATTTTTTTTATTTATATAAATATATATATATTTTTTTTTTTCCCTTTTTTTTAATTTAATTTTCATTAATTGGCCTCAAAATTTTACCGTTTTTTTTTTTTTTGCTTTTAGACGTATTTGTATTTGCGGGACCAGGATTATCACTTTTTGTATACTATTGAGAATATTTTGTTTTGAAAAATGTAATAAAAATGACATTTGTTGGTAATATTCATATTCCTTTATGCAATAAGCAGCTGAGCCACTCTTTACGTTTTTTAACCTTTTCTCGTTTGAAACAAGTTTTCAAATTTTTCTATCGTTTCTGTAGCTGGACAACTGAAAATTGTAAGAAAAGAATGATAAATTCAGATATATTTTGTGATGTCGACGATCGGCTGATGTAGTGGTAGTGAATCTGCCTACTAATGCGGAGGTAGCGGATTCAATTCTTGCACAATACAAATGTTTGTTTCTATCATTATATGTAATCTATTTATCTTGGTCTGGGCGTTTTTCCACATATTATAGTGTTCAAGTTTTTTTTAAATTAAAGGAAAATGTTAGCAAAACATCCCGGCCAAGATAAATTGAAATTTTCTGTAAAATAGAGATATTATAATATACCTAATGGTTGGTGTTACAGAATTCAATAAAACCAGATCTAGGATTTTATTGTATTACTAGTTTCTTCTTTTTAGGTATTTAGTAAGTGGATGTTGCTTTGCTGAATTCGAAAACACATTTGGACGTGCTACCTCGACTGCAAGATGAATAGTCAAAGAAACTTGTCAATTTATATTCAATGAACTTGGAACTGAGTATATACCAGAACTAAATGAAGATCGATTTGTAGATATTCATTTAGTTCTGATATATACTCGATGGATTCGAAAAACTAGCTAATTTTCCCAACTTTTTGGGTGCAATAGATGGTAAACATATTATGAAAACATATTCGAATAACCAAATCACCGGGTACTGGATCTCTATATTATAACTACAAGGGCTTTTTGCACTAGTACTTTTGGTAACTTGTGATGCAAACTGTTTATTTACGTTTATTGATGTTGGCGCCTATGTATTCTTCTGATTTGATAATATATAAAGAGAGTAAATTATGTAAAAAAATTGATTATGGAATTCTTAAAATACTAGAACCCGGATGTATTTCGGGACTTCCTAATGCCATAAACTATTGCTAATTTGGTGACAAAGCTTTTGGGTCACCATTGAGTGACCATATTTTGGAAAACAATTGGATAAAGCAAAAAGAATATTTAATTATAGATTGTCACGAGCAAGGCGTTGTATTGAATGCGCCTTTCAATTACTAAGCAGGAAATTTCGAATATTTCAATCTCCAATTTATGTATCAGCTGATTTAGCAGAAATAATTGTCTAAACATGTTATATACTGCATAACATGATTAGAAAGTAGGAAGGATTACATTTTTATGCAGTGTCAAACACACGTGAAAACACAAACAGTATTATGGGTTCTAAAAGGTCAATTAATACTATGGATATACTAAAAGACTATTTTATAAGTCCTGAAGGATCGTTTCCATGGCAAAATTTAATGATATAAATGCCAATTGCACCTAAATAAAGTTAAAATATAGCTATAAAGAGTATTACCTATTATATTTTCCCCTGCACGCAAATCTTGAAACTGGATATTACTCTTAGTGCATACTTTTTCTCAATCTTTTACCATCTCTGTGCGATTAAAATATTCATTGCTACTCAAATCCCAGATAGCATGATGTTTTCTTATTTCTTCGATAAAATCCTCCGTGTTAAATGTACCGTCTTGTTTGCTGTCGTCGGCTTGGTTGTCAGCCGTATTCACTGCGCACGAAAGTTAGACGTGTGTAGTCGGCGACGTATTGAGCGACACTAGCATTCATTGCCGGGCGCAGGGAGAGGGAGGGAGGGTGTGAAATCGCCCGATGCGTTGCGATTGACGGTTGAGGAAACCAGCAACTTTAAAAACCGCTATATATTTAACAGTTGCTAGTTGCTACCATTAGAAACTAGCTTATGCATCGATTACAGTTACTGAAAACTGTTGATATATATATGTGTGTAACGGAGTAACGCAAAGGTCGCACGTATCTAAATGTTCTAGCTAGTAAAAAAGTTTATCTTGTGAGAATAACCCGTAATTTTGATGTGTATCTATATTTTTTTGAACTTTACTCAATTAGTTTTCTAGTATTTAATCAGACAGTGAGTGATTAGTGGAACATAAACATAAAATAAGGAAATAATTAAAAGTATATATTCAAACGTGTGTTTCTTGAGAAGTTGTTGACTATAACGCGTAAGCGACACGATCTGCACGGCGCTTACGCTCTTTTCGTCGGACAGTTCGCTTAGAAGTTTTAACAACCGGGCTGCATTGCTGACGATCAGCTGGTTATTTTAAGTCTACCGCTAAGTTGATATTAATATTGCATCCACGGGACATGTCTTCGTCAACAAAGAATAGCAAAATAGTACAAAAATGTGCGGGGTGCAACAACAACTTGCCGCAAAGAGAGTTTCTGGGATGTTCAATATGTAAGTTAAAATATGATTTACTTTGCGCTAATGTATCGAATAAACGTTTTCATTTAATGAATCAGGAGAACAAACGTTCTTGGAAATGTATAGAATGCCGCAGTAAGCAGCCAAAGACTGATAATACCAATACGCCGGTACGCGCAAGCACGATATCACAAAAACCCCAGGAAGACTTAGTTGAGTCGGATAACTCCGAAAATTCTCATAATATTACGCATCGTGTAAAAATAGTCAAACCAACAGATACGGATAATATACTAAACATGTCTCCTTCTGAGATCTCAGACTTAAGCCCTGCTAAGGAAATGCGGTTATTTTGGTGTGAATTACGTGCAGTCCGTAATGAAATGGTACAATTTAATAGCACATTGTCTGAATTAACGGCAGTTATGAATAAGTATAACGAACGTATTGATTATTTAGAGGCTAAATTAGAGTCATTGGAAGTAAAACAAATTGACAAAGAATCTAACAGAATTGAACACCTGGAAACTACAATAACTCAATTGAAACTAGACCTTCAAGACCGTGAGCAGGAGATGTTATCCAATGATGTGGAGATAGCGGGTATACCAGAGGTGAGAAATGAAAACCTAATGCACGTCACGTTTACTGTCGCTAAGAAACTAACTGTGGAGATTGAGGACCGTGACATAGTAAGTGTAAAACGCGTCGGGCCAATAAGGGCGCTTGTTGAAGGACAGCCGGTGCCAAACCCCCGACCAATTGTAGTAAGGCTTACACGCCGAGCACAAAAAGATGCACTGTTGCAGGCAGCACGCGTGAGACGCGGTGCTAACACAGCGGACATGGATCTTCCTGGATCTCCGCGTTTATTTTATATCAATGAACGCCTTACTAAATATAACCGTCAGCTCTTTCTAAAGTCGCGGGAAATATCTAAGCGAAATAAGTGGCAGTATGTATGGACAAGAGATGGAAATATATATATACGTCAAGAACATGGTAAGAAGAGCTATCGTATTCGTTCGGAAACAGATTTAGTTAAGGTTTTTGGTGAAGATATGGTTGGTTCAGTTAGCGTTAGTAAATAATAAAAAATATGCTAAAATTTTTATTGTAAGTAGTGTAAATATAAGAAAAATCATAAAAACGAATTGTAATATCAACCTTCAAACTGTTTATAATAGTGTCAATTACATATTTTTTAATCATAGATTTATTTTTAGGTGCTTTACAGGGAGTTTCGTGTACACGACCCACCCTTTTATATGTTTAGTTGCTGGTTGCGTTTTTTTCTTTGTATCTGATATTGTTATTATCTATAATTTTCGTATGGGCTTAGAACATCTCACAGTTGCAATACATTTTTTTGAGGACATATGTTTATAATAATGGGTCCTTTAAATAAAAATCGCAGTCTAACATTGGGGTTACTTAATGTCAGATCGTTAAATACAGGTAAAGATGAGTTATTGGCCAGTCTTGACAAATATAAACCTGACATTCTTGCTCTAAATGAAACGTGGCTTAAAGAAGGCGAAGAAAAGATGGCAATATTAGTACCAGGATATACACTTAAACATAAACCACGCCCACGGGATAGCCGCGGAGGCGGTGTAGGGTTCTTTGTTCGAAAAGAACTTCGGTTGCGGACCACGCAACACCCGGAATCACAACTAGAACAAATGTGGCTTGAACTAAAGATTCCCGGCAGCGGACGTGTCGCGATTGGTACAGCATATAGACCAGAATCGGTAGATATTGAGATTGCGATGGATGCACTAAGTGAATCTGTAAGTACTTTCGGATATTGTGATTGCATTTTTTTATTAACTGATTTTAACATTGACCTCCTATGACCTGATAAATTAATAGCTCGCAAATTAAATACGTTTTTATCGCAGCAAGGACTCTTTTAACTCGTTAATGAAGCGCAAGCGCAAGCGCGCAAGCGCACGCATTACTGAAAGAAAAGAATCACTTCTAGATCTTATTTTGACCGATTCTCCAGAATTTCTCAGAATTTCTCCAGAAATTCTGCAAAAGTATTAACCTATACCATAACACGGAACTGAGTGACCATGCCATGGTGATTTCCGAACTTAAAATTAATAAACCTAAGGAGAAACAGCTATACATACACACGAGGTTAGGACAAATTAATCAAAATGAATTTTTAGCTCATCTGGAAAGTCTGTCTTGGTATGATACTGTAATTGAAAATAATATCAACAAAAAAGTTCAACAGTTTAGTAGTATGTTGCTTGACGCTTTTCAAATACATGCACCTTTAAAGTTAATTAGGCTAAAACAAAAACCACCTTGGATTACAGACAATATAAAATTAATGATGACACTCCGCGACTCTGCTCATAATCGTGCCAATATTTCAGGAAAGGATTCGCACAATGACTATTATAAAAGTCTCAGAAACTTAGTAAATAGCGCAATCAATAGAGAAAAGTCAGCTTATTTTATGTTTTTTATTAACAAAAATCAGGGTAATGCAAAAACTATGTGGAGCCATCTGAAGCGAATATCGCCCGTGGGGAACCAATCAGGACAAATATGCGTACCATCACACCTCTGTAACCCCGATAATATTAATAATTTTTTATAGAAGTGCCAGGAGATAATGAAATAGATAAAAGTACTATTAAGTACTTCAATAGCAACCGATTAAAAAACACTGAATTTAATATTACAACCGCAACAGAATCTGAGGTTTATAAAATAATTACAGCAATTGGAACTAAAGCCAGTGGACACGATTTAATTAATATAGATATGGTTCGTATATCTTTATCGGTAACATTACCTATAATAACAGGAATAATAAACGAATCCATTACTACTAAGATTTTTCCAGATCCTTGGAAACTGGCCAAAATTAAACCTATTCCTAAGAGTCCAAACGTACAGGAAATTAATAACCTTAGACCAATCAGCATTTTACCTACACTTTCCAAGATATTGGAGAGGGTAGTATGTTCACAGTTAACGAGATATTTAGAAGATAATTATATTTTACCAGAAACACAATCCGGGTTTCGTCGAGGGTATAGTACGGAAACAGCTCTGCTGCACGTCACGGATGATATAACTGCAGCTTCTGATAAAGGTGAGGGTAGTATACTGGTGCTATTGGATTTTACTAGAGCTTTCGACTGCATAAACCATGATATACTTCTGGCGAAACTGTCATACTACGGAGTATCGGAGGCAACGTGTAAATGGTTTTACTCATTCTTGTCAAATAGAAGTCAATATGTTGAAATTAACACTGACCAAGGAGAAGTAATACAATCAAGTGTAAGAAGAACGTCCCGAGGCACTCCGCAAGGATCTATCTTAAGCCCTATTCTATTCATACTATTTACAGCGGATATTAGCAAAGTATTAAAACATAGTAAAATACATCTGTATGCCGACGATACTCAAATTTATCATTCGTTCAAGCCAGAACAGACGGAAAATGCAGTTATGCAGTTAAATGAAGATTTGTCGGCAATCTTCCAATGGGCAAACAAAAATGGTCTACCCCTTAATCCTTTAAAATCAAAATATATGGTGCTAGGAAGTAAAACACAATGTAAAAAAATATTAAGTAAGAAACCGGAAATACTCATCAACAAAAAAAGGTACTCAGAGTGGATTATACTAATAACCTTGGTCTTACCCTCGATAGCCAACTGCGATTTAATGAACATGTAAATATTAAAGTACGTAATGCTTTTTATCGTTTAAAGGTTTTATATGGCATAAGAAAATACTTAGCAGTAACGATCAGGAAGACCTTAGTTGAGTCGTTAGTGTTATCACATTTTAATTACTGCGATACCGTCTATGGCCCACGACTGTATGCAAAAACAAAAAAGGCAATTCAACGCGTGCAAAACGCATGTACTCGTTTTTGCTTTAACGTCCCAAAAAGAGCTCACATTACTCCATATATTAATGAAAATAATATTTTAAAAATGGACGCACGTAGGAAACTCCACTTGGTTAGCTTAGTTCACAAAATTATTAGTAACAAAAGTCCACTGTATTTATACAATAAATTAGATTGGAGTAAGAATGCCCATGAAGTAAATACACGTAAAAGAGTCTCAAACATGCTGAATATTCCATGCCATAAGACTAAAAACTTCAAAGGGTGTTTTAAATATTCGGCCGCAAAAATATGGAATGATTTGCCACCACCCTTAAAAGAAAATTTTAATATTAATTCTTCAACATTTAAAAAAAAGGTTAAAAAGGAGTTATTACACGAACAGAAATCTTTTTAGGCCGAATAACTGTATGTTTATTCTGTAATAAGTATTTTTATCTAACACATATTGACTGTATAGAGGTTTACCAACAATACATAATTAAGTACGATGTGCGTGCGACCAAAATATACCCAAAACAGCAGGGACTGGCTGAAAAACAGTGCTGAGCATAATGCCCAGCGAATACTGAGCCTGTGCCCGTTGCCTCACATTATAATCGTATACTGAGTAATATTAGTTAATCTGTTAATTGTGAATGTTTTTTTTATTTTAAGTCTAATCATTTTTATGTGTATACTTACTTTGTAAACTTTTCATTTGTATACTTATTATTGTGTGGCAATAAATATTATGGGGTAACTATATAGTTTTCTCATCTGGTTGGGTTCTATAAATATATAATTATAAATGAAAATGAAAAGATAAATATACATAAATATCAATAACATAAAATAAATATAAAAGTACATAAATAAATAAAAGTCCAACCAGATGGAGGCCCTCGGCAGGGGAGACCAAACGGCCGAGGGTTAGGGGGAAAGAGAAAGAAACCGGCGGACGATGCGGGCGGTATCGAGGAGCACCGTCTTCTGCATTTGAACCTGGAGCGGTCCGCCACGTAGTCCCAGCCGCCTCAGATGACATGTCGGTCACCTCGTGAGCCAGGTCCAGATAGCAACATTCATATATAATCCAATATAATAAAAATATTCCTGAAAATTTTCGTTTATTAGATGTTGATAATCGAATTATTTTACCTATAAATAATCAAATTCGAATTATAGTAACTGCTATTGATGTAATTCATTCAAAGAACTATTCCATCTTTAGGAGTAAAAGTAGATGCTAATCCTGGTCGACTAAATCAAACTAGATTTTTCATTAATCGTCCAGGAATTTTTTTTGGTCAATGCTCAGAAATTTGTGGGGCTAATCATAGTTTTATACCTATTGTAATTGAAAGAATTTCTATTAAAAATTTTATTAATTGAATTAATAATTATTCATCATTAGATGACTGAAAGCAAGTACTGGTCTCTTAAACCATTTAATAGTAAATTAGCAATTACTTCTAATGAAAGAATTAGTTAAATATATAACATAAATATGTCAAATTTAAATTATTACATTAGTAATATTCTTTTATTCCTCAAATAATACCTATTAATTGATTATTATCTTTTTTTTTTTTTATTATAATTTTTATTTTATTTAATATTATAAATTATTATATTTTTAATATTAATAATTTTAAAAAATTATTTTATTTTAATTAATAATAAATATATATATATATACACACCAAAATTTTATTTAGGGTTGCAAAACATTCTATGCATTGATGGTTACCGGTTACTGGTGAATAACTAAACAACAACTAGGGTTACAACTCTGAGACGACTACACGGGGAACGACTACATGCACTACAGGGTGTGTAGTCTTCCCTAGCTATGATACCACTAATTATACAACAGTTTGCTTAAACGCACAGACCAAAGTGATGCTGAGCACATTAAACGTGTTCAAAAACTTTTTATTTACAATTAGAAAAAATAATACTGCGATTGTATTTGCAATTAGAATTACCTTACACACTATTTCCAAATGAATATCTATTAAAATTTAAACGATTCCTTTTTTAATGACTCACTCAGTCCGTCCATACAGTTATGCCTTCTACTAGGGCGTTGTAGAAATTGGATGAAATTAAATAATTATTTCAACATTACAAATGTTAAAGTTAATGTCAAAATATTATTATTTAAAAATTTGACTTGCAAAAGCAAAGTACTTTTTGTAATTAAGAAGGGATATAGCAAATAATGAGGAAGCGGATAGAAGCTCACAGCTGAAACTATTTTCTCCCAACTGTTATTATTTTACCATATAAAATATATTTCACGGTCAGATCCTCGTTTCCTCAGAAGCTTTCCAAAAGATCTACTGATTTCTAGTATTTCGTGGACAATCAATTTTTTATAAAGTCCCATTATCATGCACAAAAATACACCGGGCTTGATTACACAATGCTAAAACGAATTACATGAAAAAAGTAGTGTTCACTCGCCAGTAAGTTCCTGCTCCGCATGCGAAGCCACCAGACGCATGTGTAATAATACAATAATAATTATAACTCTTTATTGATCAGCGAGCCGAGTTGTATCAAGCGCTCGTAATCCGTTGACAAGTGCAATGTTAACAGCTCTGTTTTTAACACGCTGTTATTATCATCGCGTCTATCTCTCTCTCTCTCTCTCTCTCTCTATCTATCTACGAAACGGAATCTTTTAATGTAATTTTCACCAACTTTTAGACGGCTGATTGACTTGAAAATTTGCTCTCGTGTCAAGGATGGATGACAATACACTAATTTATTAACTTTATCCTAGTGTCCTGATCAGAATTACCAGGATAAAATAATCAGCTTAGGATCGATTCGTATTGCTTCGGTTTTTCTAAAATCTAATATTATTATTATTAGAATAGGAGTGCATTTGTTGAACAGTTTTTTTTACTCTATGTCAATTGATAGAATCAGGGTTACTTTGCGGAAATCCATTATAATAAAAAATAAAAATATAAAACGGAAAGTTGAAGAAATTTATATTTTTTTTTTTTTTTACTCTATGTACCACTCTGAGATGTCTTCGTAAACAATGTATTATTTTTAGCAGTTTCAGCACCCGTTCTCTAGATTAGCGATAGCGACGAACTCTAAATCTACGAGTATTGCCCGTTTGAAAGCAAAATCAATTATCACACATTCATATTGATCTTTAGTTACACCTTGAAAAAAATCTTGGTATTGGACGATCGCAAGTCGTTGCTATGGGAGCCGTGTGCCGAGATGCCTTTCAACTTAAAACATCTCGATAGGAAAGGATAAACATTCATTCATACGTACTAACACTGATTATTCCATTGTGCTCATTTTCATCTCATCATCTCGAGGGTAACAGCTGGAAATCAGTGTTTGCTCTCTGAGCAGTATTAATCACTGAGCAACTGTCAAATTTAAACACACGAGTTATTTTAGATCTTAATATTGCGTGACTTTTTTTGTAATACGTTATTTAGTAACTAGTTTAGTCACTGGATTTACATGCGTGATTGAGGGAACAAATAAATGCTTTATGTATCTATCTACCTGTCATTATGCAACAGGGGACTCCTCTGTGACGTCACGCGTCTCCGTCCCCGCATCTAATTTTCCTTAGCGTTCTACAACTTCCACGATGCTAACTATGGAAATTAAAATGCGAATTGGATCGTCGGCAAAACGAAACGCGATGTGAGCAAAATATGGAACCAGTTTGAGAACTACGAAATTGCGAGTGCGCTCACGTATTTTGACGAATAGGTAATAAACAGTAACGCGTAGTTTTCGTCGAGTTCAAGATTTAAAAAAAACGAGGTTAGAAACTATGGTACTGACATCACGTTCGCTTAAACTATAACAATTCATCTTATGGTCTAAGCTCGCGGCGACAGATCACTCCGATTCAACATTCTTCTCATTTGGAGCTAGTACTTATTCTAAAATTTATGATTAAAAAAATTCCTAGCGAGCGGCAAGTCCCCGGCGATGTCTGGCAGCCGCGCCGAATCTCCGTGTATTTTTAATCGAACGGGACATTTTGTTTACGGCTTAGCCTTATCACTAGCGTGACGCGCGCCGCGCTCGCGCGCGATTCGTGTTATTTCTCCACAAAGTCGAACCTGCTTTTTATGCACAATGACAAGCCACAAATAAACAAACAAACAACAGTGCATTGCATAACCTATTCGTATTGGCGAACTCAAATGCTCTCATGAATTTTTAATATTTTTTGTCTTTTTTCTCAGACATGCAGGTTTTCTCACGATGTTTTCCTTCACCGCCGAGTACGTGGTAAATCAGCACTTAATATTGCAATTAATAAATTCAATTGGATCCGGCGGGGATTGAACCCGGTAATCGCGTACTGTGAAATTTACAACGAGAGCTGAGTCCATGTGAGTCACTACGGTTTTCATTGCTTATTCATCACGTTATAGGTCACGTTAAGTTGATCTCAAGTGGACTCTGTCTTAATGGTAATGTTTTGTGAATGTCGCGGCACAGTCATGCGAGCTCGTCCGCATGCGAGCTCGTCCGCATGATATTAATATTCGAAGACGGCTGCTAAACGACGAGGTTCGTTATAGTATACCTGGCTGCAAATAACCAACCGTCTACATTTTTGCACTTTTTGAAAAAAACAAAAAAATTATTTTGCAATGCGAGGCTCCTGAGCCGCGACAGTGGCGAACGTCGCTTGTAAAGCAGTTTCCACCTTCTCAATAAGTTAAGAGCAATGAAGTAAAATGCACTACTTCTTAGAAGAGACGACGAGGCTTTGTCGTTTGACCCACGCGGTAGAGCTCGCGGGCTCAAACTTTCTTAGTCTGTGCCTCTGTGCTACAAAAAGGTACCTCATTCCTTCGACCACGCGCCCCGCGGCTTCACTTGCCCGGCCCCTGGACGGGCGACCTCTACCAGGAGAACTCTTCTCTATATAGTTTAGAGAGTCAAGTAATAAGCACCAACGTCACTTACTGTCCAACTTAGACTAAAGTCCTATTGACACCCACTAGAATTGACATCAGCTAGCGGCAGACGGAAGAAAAAAATTACCCCGTCCGCTGTTAAACAAACAATACCATAATTGGTTCCCAAGACCGGTAAATAGCTATGTACCGCGAGGAGATTCCGGGCAATGGGGGATGCCCCGAGGCCCGCGCAATGATGCAGTCGCAGAGGAAGAGGATAACGCGCCTCGCAATGCCGCACAGGTTTTGTTCCCAAAGTCACAAATTTATATAATATATCGTAGCACATAATACTTCAATGGTTGAGAGTGTTTTGTGGTATCCTGTGACCGCGAATAAACAAACTAAGTTAAAGTAAGTCGATTAAAGCAAATCGCCCGTGTCCAGCTGCTAACCGCTGGCTACAAAGACGCTTCTGATACACTCGTAAATCGCTTTCTGTTTCATTTAAAAAGTTCTCGGATTCAATGGTGCTTTAATAAATATGATAGTAACGCTTTAAAAAACCCGCATGTAGGAATGTACGATCCATGAACGGTGCGCTTTGAGTATTAAACCATTTTACTACTCAAAGGCGATGTCCAGCAATAGGAGGTCACGCATTTAACAAATAATAGCCATGTTTTTTTAATTTCGCAAATATTTGTTATTGTTAGCGGTACAAACTTATAATTATACCGTAATATAATGTTTAAAGTAAAAAAAATACTTTAACCTTTAATAGAAAAATAATAATTATAATAAAAATTCAGGTACACTGAGAGAGAAAACTTTTGAAATTGCGGGTTGGATTTGAATTTACTGCCTGGATTTCAAGATAGGGTCTACCCACTATTTAGTAGAGAAGCACGTTAACAGGTCGTCACAAACTGTCGCAGTTCGCTCAGCTCGCGGGCGCCGCACTTAGTGTTATCAGTTGCGATAAACCTAAGTGCGGCATCGAACGCCCGATAGCAAAAACATCACAGATCTTTTGAATAAAGCCATCTTTGGACTACAGTGTAAAAGTTGCAATCATACCAAGTTCGTAGTTGAATTCAGAACCTTTTTTTATTGTGCAGAGAGATGGTCGACCAAATTGTGCTGCAGACGTAGTATTTTTTTTTTAACTAAGAGTAACAAATGAGTACACAGTTCACCTGATGGTAAGTGGATGCTGTGGCCTATAGACATCTACATTATTACCCTCAAGTTAGAATCTAAATACAGTATCTGAAATCTAAATTTCAATACCTGAGAGATTCTCATAATTGTTCCCTTCGTTCGGTTTCAGGTAATCTCAAGTTACTCACTCCTTTACACCGTACTTATTACTTATCTCAATATTTCACCCTCATGGCCATCAGATTCTGGAATATGCCCTATGGCATTGAGACCGCCATAAGAACTATTTTGTGCATTAAGGAATAAATAAATAAAATAAAATACTGACGCATTGTCACCTCTAAGGACTAAGATGCAATGCCTTTTTTCCAGCAAAAACGGTCTCCGGTTCTCTCCACTCGCCGTACGAAACACA